ATTCCTCCTCTCTTCTATAACATTTTCAGTTTACTAATTAGTAAGGATTTGATGTTGTTGGCCGATATTTTTGTTGTTCTCCTGATTTTATCTTTACTTTTGTCCTTCGTATATATTTTTTTATATGTAAATTGATCTCCGCGTCATGCCAGTTCACTAAGTAGACTCACTCTACCGAGGGGCAACAAGGGCTGACATAATTGCTCCACCCGAAGTTATTCAATGTACCCCATGGTCGGCCTTTACATCAATCGTACGTCGACACCACATCGTTCTTAATGTTGGGTGGATACACCTATTTACAACTGCTAAACGTACAAGGTGTAGATCGATACTAGTTTCAATCACAATGCATGGATGAAATTACACTACAAACAAATTAAAAATGTTGCTATATGATTTGAAGTCAGATTATCTGTCTTCAACTACTACCCGTGGATTATATAGCTAAACACACATTATATTAGTGAACCACATAAATTAAATATGTTTATTCTTTCACTTTCTTACATTCTACATTTCCAATTTGAAGAACCAAAACCAAAACTTTGCTAACCATGGATATTAATTAAGTAGCATACACATATGAACATCTTAATTAGACCCACAAAAGGGAACACAAAAAGGAAACACACCATGGTCAAAAGGTCATAGGATTCTCCATGGATACACACGACCACCGAAAAGAAGAGAGAAAAAGGGAGTGACTCATCATCGTGCTCCATGCATGTAGCTCTAAGGATATAGAGACGTTCCCATTTTTTTTCAACATATGTTTGACTAATGATCAATCACAAGCCCAAAGTGGTGGGTAGGTGCTTGGGCTTTGACCGAGAGATTCCCAACATACTTGAGAAGGTCCCGTGGGAATTCTTGAAGCGGGGCCATCTGGATTCAATATTACATTTCAATCCAACCACCATCAAGTAGTCGTACTAATGAGTTGGAGATACACCTTTAGCTTTTAGGAATTCAATGCTCCTACCAACAACACAAATATTGGGTTCGACATAGAAAGGAGTTCGTTGGTTAACAATCACGGAATTGGGAATTTGGATTCAGAAAGTTTTTGAGTTGGAGTTATCTTACAACGTGTTTTTTGATACAATTCAGGAAGAAATGGAAATGGAATTCTATTTCCATTTTCTATTTTTATAGAATTTCATTTCCAATTTTAGTGTTTGGTATAATTCCTACAATTATAGAAATGAATTGCACTTTTAACAATAATGTAATATATTTGTTTTATCGTGGAAAATGGAATATGAATGATAGAGAAAGAGAGTAGGTTGATAGTAGGTTAATAAAATAATAATAATAAATAGTGATGTGACCCACTAATTCCATCTTCATAAACCCAATTCCTATCACTTTTGATACGAATTGTAATTCCCAAAACTTAGCCCAAATGGAATTCAATTCTCAATCTTCTTATACTTTCAAACATAAAATATGTAACTGGAATTGAAAATGGAATTTCAATTTCAGAGTTTTTTTTTTTGTCTGTCCAAACATGCTATATATTAGATAGTAGGAGTGTAGGACATTCTATATTACCTCATAATAATACTAATAGAATGGTTTTTTATAAGGGTGAATTTACTTTTTGTGGTTAATTGGGTTTTATTTAAATGATTTGAATCTAAGATCACCATGTTTAACACTAGTGTCGTCATTAACTCACGAAGGTGTCATGAGAGCTTAAATGAACTAATTTTGATGGATTTCACTCATTGACCGAAAAAAGAAAGAGTTCCATCGTTTCAGGTCGTAGGGAAAAAAATAGTTCGTCCTTTTCTTTTGTTTGTTTGTAATATTAAATGTTTTTCAAATGATTTAACCAAATAATTGTTCGAAACCTATATTGAATTCGACATGGTTATGATAAAGACGGACAGAAATTGCTAGCTACCAGAGGATTTATCAGTGAGAAAGGCAAAACATAGAGAAAAAAGATATGTAATTCTTCATAAACTACATGTAATTCCACCCCTGAAAAATTATAGCAGGAATACGGTTTAAATCGGATACAACGTACATTTTTCCCGTTGGTTATTAGGTGGGTTCATTAGTAGTTGTGACTTGTGAGACGGCAAAAGGAAGGAGAAAAGGGAAAGGAAGAGGAACCAAAAGTCTCGAGAGATCTTCTGCGGGGCATGTATATGTTGTCTCACTTTGCACTATAATGATGAGAATAAAGAGCCATTATAGCCCAAGTTGAGTTAAAGAGTATTACTTTGATGGTCAAACTGATCATTCCCCTCCTTTTCCCGGTTGCCAAACATCCTTTTATAGGGTTATCAAGAAAAGGCTATATGTGGGATTAGAGTAGCTGCAAAATAGGAGCTTATGAAATAGTCCTTGGGTTTTGGGGATTAGTACATCAACATCTTGATTAACTTTTTTATAGTAAGGAAAATTTATCTTCTATTATCTCCTCTATAGATCTCTATAAACACATAATGAAAACAGAATCTCTTTCTTTATGTTTCACCCATAATTATTTACTATATTGGCCATAATTATTATGTTCAAACGGATTGGTTACCGTGATAACCATATTAACCTGTAGCATTCGGTTAATTTGGTTAGTTAATTTGGATAATTGGTTTGGTTTGGTTAAACAATTAAGCTTATTAGGTTTAGGTGGTTTGGTTTCAAAACTGCTAACCAATGAAACCAATTAACCCATTAATGATACATGTAATATACAAAATTATTTATACTTCCATGCAACCAACCAAACCAAATTTTTGTGATTTCCTATTTTATTTCCATGTGCACAAAAAACCAAAGCATTATGGGTCGAAAATTAAATGGGCCTGTCTATTTACTAAACCAAAACATTTTGGACAGCTAATAGACTTTACAATTACGTACAGTACCATGACAGCCACCTCAAACTATGTATAGTTTAAGTGTTTTGTAGGAGAGGTTTAACTTCCTGATGAGTGGTATTGGTATGTATTTAATATTTATGTTAAAGGTTTGTTGTAAGCTAACTATATTAGGTGGAGAGGTGATGAATGATGTATGAACTCGAATGATGATGATAATCATGGATGGTTAGTCTTATTATTATTGCTTATATATAATGATAGTTTATGATAGTAATAACATATGGTTATGTTTTATTCATTAACAGGATAACTGTTTTCATGTAATGTTATGTTATTTGGTTAATCCGATTATCGATTAACCAAACTAATTAAATTTTGGTCTGGTTAATTTGGTTTTCGTGTTAATTTGGACGGTTTGGTTAAGACATTTTATTCTATGGTTAATGAAATTTAGGCTTAATTGGTTTGGTTATTACCACAGTAACCATTTGAACACCCCTAATAATTAATTATGGAGTTTCACTTGGATGTTCAATATTTTTGTGAAAATGAGTTCTATTGATTATGTTACTAATGACGTTCAATTTTTGTTACTAAATCTTTATTTTTTTTTAAATGCTACAATGTCATAAATAAATGGCAATATGCATGAATAACTATTACCATGATATAGATATTCAATCATTGTTGCGTGAATAACCTCCAACTTGTCTGAATAAACACCAAATTAGGTAAATGAAATAATGAATAGTAAATTTGGTGATGATAACACCTACAGGGACAACAAACATTTCTCTTGTCGTAAACCCGGTGATAAGAATCAAGGTAGCCCAGGCCTTTTCAGCCCCAGGAATTGGGTACAAAAGCGAGGAGGGTGAACATTAAGCCCATACATAGGAGTAGAGTCCCAAATCAGAGAATGGTGGGCTCGAGCACAAGTCCACACTAAAATAAAGCCCCAACCACACAAATGTAAAGCAGTTAAGCCCATGTTCACAGTGTTGCACAATGGCACAATGCTCAATGCAATACTGCGCAAGCGCAACCACGTAAAAAAAAAAAAATAATAATAATAAATTAAACAGGGTTTGCTCTTTACTGCTTTTGCTTGCTTCAATTTTGCTTTTGAATTTCTATGGGTCTATGTCTTTGCTATGTTTTCGATCGGGTACAGGTTATTGTGATTGCTGTAAAATAGTTATCACCGTGGTTACTAAGAATAAATTGGGTATGACAAAAATTTGTTAATTATTTTTTTTAATAAATTATATTTTAAGAAGTTACAAAATATATTAATTATAATTTTCTCTCTTTTTCTCTTACTTCCGGTCTCTAGCCAGATCTCTCTTCCTTCCTTTTCTCTATCTTTTTATTATTTTTGTTCAACCGAACTAATACTGCTGCAACAATAAAACAATACCAATCCATTAAAAAAACACTACCAATGCACAAAACACCAATACCATTCGAGAAATAAAAACATTACCATTTCACAAAACACCAATATCATTGCAGATTTAATTAATATCAATACATGCAAATCAATACCATTACATGATAATTAATATCAATGCAAAAAAAAAAAAACAATACCAATGTGAAAATACTACCACTACAGAAAAAGAACACTACCATTTCACAAAAAAAGCAATACACTTATATGATAATCACTACCAATGCGGAAAAAATAATACCAATGCGAAAAAACACTACCACTATGAAAAAATCACTACCAATGTGGAAAAAAAAACAATACCAATGTGAAAAACACTACCACTGTGAAAAAATCACTACCAATGCGGGGGAAAAATCAGATCTAGAGTTTTTATTCATCCCACCTTTCCCGGTCGCAACCGTCTCCCAAAGAGAGAGGCCAGCGAGAGATAGAGGGCAGATAGCTAGAGAGAGAGAGAGGGCGGAGAGAGAGAGAGAGAGAGAGGAGAGAGGAGAGAGGAGAAGGAAGAGGGTGCCCGCAGCAGTGGGCGAGGGTAGCCGCCAGCAGTAGGAGGTTTGCCGAGGGTGGCCGCCAGCGGAGGAAGGGAACCACCAACAAGAGAGGTGTATTGACGGCGATAGAGAATGAGGTTGGAGTAGGGTTTAGGTATATAATATATAGAAATTAATTTTTTAAAGGATAAAAATCAGGTGTGATAGAGATAATGAAGGGTGTAGATTTTAGTGGGGTTGTTAGCGGTGCGGTTTCGGTTTTAACCGAACCGCAAACGCGGTTAACCGCAGCCGACTAACGTCCAAAAATGCCAACCGCAACCGACACCGACGACCTTGTCGGTTAGCCGAAAACCGCCGTCGATGGTTCTAGGTCGGTGTCGCGGTTAGCAGAAGACCGACGCAGATGGCGAATCTGGCCAGATTTTTGGATCTGCTGGCGACGTCGGCCTTGCTGGGCGGTGTCGGGATGGCTGGGTGACATCGGCCTTGCTGGGTGAAGTTGGAACTGCCGGGCGTCGACTACCGGGCGATGGCGGGGCTGCAGGGCGACGACGGCGAGATGACTAGCCATGGGAGAATGGCGATGTTGACGATTACTGTGAGTCTGGGACTGCGAGAAGGAGGATGAGGGAGGCAGCATGGAAGCCGAGAACGGCGGTGGCGAGTGACGATGGGCCGAAGACTGCAGCAGGGACTCCAGAGAGTCTGGGATGGTAGGGCACGCGGTTGTCGCGGTTTAACCGCCGCGGTTTCGGTTTTCACCGATAACCGCAACCTTCTCTAATTTGCCGGTGACTGCCAACCGACACCGACGTTGCGGTTTTTGGTCGATCAAAAAACAGACGGTCTCGTGTCGGTTACGAGGTTAACCGGATAACCGGCCACCGATTAACAGCCCTAGATTTTAATAGCCACCATGATTACTCAATTTTGAGTAATCACTCTAACGCGTTCCCTATGAACTGTATGGCTCGAATATCACATTTTGTGTTGTGATCTCAAGCGATTTAGTAGAATATATACGTATTTACAGCTCCAAACCTATAAGAAATTGATATTTTCACTTGTTTACAATTTATTATAGCAAAAAAAAATCATAATTAATTCAACTAAATTTATAGGTAATTTTGAAAAAAAAAATGAATAAAAAATTAGCGATGGCAAAAATATCCGTAACCGTGGATATCTGCCCGTATATGACCTAATCGGGCAGGGTAAAACCCGAACCCGAATGACTTTTAGTGGGTACGGATAAAACCCGAACCCGAATATTGCGGGTAATGGGTGGGCATGGTTTTCTAACTATCCAACTGACACTCCAAAAACACAACACCTAACAATGGCCAAGTGTAACCAATGGAAGGGACTGCAGTATAGTGGCTCAAGTAATAAATATCGAATCCACGGGTCTCTAGAGTTACTATTACTCAGCTTCAGTTTATTATTTAGCAAATCAGATTAAGATGAAAGAACTAAAACTACTCTAGCAAACTACAGTTAAAGTTAATCTAATTACAGGTTGGGAACTCACTTAGGTATGATTCCCCCTAGCCACTAGCCAGATTAATGATTGATGATCTCTAACCTGTTTCACTTTCATTCACAATGCGGAGAATCCTTGACTAGACCTTGAGTCTCGACTAAAGGAACAAGGCCCTCTTGAGTCAATTGCCTAGAGGGACGTATCCTTCTCTAGAACAACTGATCAAGGCGTTCTGAACTAGACTCCCTCTATCGAAAGAGGTTCTCAATCGATACAAAGCAGTGAATCAACCCTCGACTAAAGCAATCGATCCACTACTATCAATCTATGGTGCTCTATTGACCTAATCAGGTATTCCCTCTCATAGAATCAAAGCAGAATCAATAATCTCGACTAAAGCAGAATTGAATCATGAAAACATGCATAGATTGAATATGAACTCAAGATTATCCAGTCAGAGTACTCATACAATCATCCAATCAAACAAACATAGCTAGGGTTCCTCAAAACCTAAGTGAAGGGAAGTTACTCCATAGAGAAGAGAGAGACTGCAGTAAGAATCTTCAGATGATCAGTCTTCAAGTCCGGGCTTGTTCCTCGAGCTTCCAAGGCGAAGAAATCCTCCTTCTCTACTCCAAGAATGCCCTCAAATCGCCCTCTCTCTCTAGGGTTCGTCCCTTGGGTGTTTGGGATCCAAAACCCAGCTCTCCCTCTTCTTTGGTTCGGAATTTGGCTTAAAACCAGGAAATCCCGACTCGCACGGCCAGGGTGCACGGCCGTGCATATCACCATTCTGGCCGTGCAACTCAAAACGCAGCGTGTCATTTAGTCGAACTTCAGCCCTCTCGCACGGCCAGGGTGCACGGCCGTGCGAGCTTCAGGGGTTGCCCGTGCGTGTCCTCGGCATAAGGCGCACGGCCATATTGCTCACGTGCATGGCCGTGCAGCCTCCCTGGTCTGCCCGTGCAGCTTGCTCAGCCTCTGTTTAATGCTTCGTTTCTCCCTCGTCCGGACTCCGAATCAATCGCCGTTTGATCCCAGACGCTCGTAGTCTCGTCCTCTTTCGTTTCATAACAAGCTTGCATGATTCTTTGTCCATAAAGTGAGGTAGAAATCCATTCTTCTTCAGGTCATGCCCGAGTTTCTTCTCTCGAATCGTCAATTGATCTCTGATTGACTTGAAACTTGCGCCTATGCTTCACTTTATGTGCTAGGACCTGAAATGGGACAAAGGAATACAACCTAGCATAAAATAGGCCAAAGACGCAATAATTCAAGCTCAAACAATCAAGAAACAAAGGGGAAAACATGTGCAAATACTGAGTCATCAAATCCCCCCACACTTAACTGTTTGCTTGTCCCCAAGCAAACCTAACTCAAACCAATGCAACTCTTCAGACCTCTATAGCAACAAACACCCCAGATCGTAGGTAGAGGACTTCCAAGATCATTTAGCAGCTTACGAGGTCAACCGACGCACAAGTCATCTCATAGCTTCTTCGGTGAGTCGGCATCATGGCAAACAGTGAACAGAGGACAAATGAATTGTGGATGAAGAGATTCTCAAAAACAAAAGATCATGGACTCACATTTTTCAAGGTGCTCGATTTTCTTTGAAGATGGTTGGAACCCCTTTTCTTTCTGTTTTGCTTGTTTTCTGTTATTTTTTTCCTTTTTTTTTCTTTCAAGGGTCCCAACCTGCTCTTACCGGCCATGCCAGGAGCGGATGTCTCGAGCCTCGTGCGGGGGAAAGACATGTAAGGGGGCTGGAGGTAGTAGGTGGAAATTGGGAACGAATTTCCGTCTCCCCTTACACACTTTCGCCCTATTCGCACGGGAGACGTTATTTTGAAGCACATTTTCGAGCACCTGTTAAACTCAAAACATGATACAAGAGTCCATGACAGGCAGAGAAACCACAACACCACACAATTCAAGGGTCCTAAGATCACTAATTCACTCAATCAACCAACACAATATGAAGAAGAAACGAGACTTCTTAAATGCATCAACATCCTCCATAGTGCTACACTACCTCCCTAGGTTGCATATTACTGTAAAGACTGTCAATTCAAAGCATACTGAGCAGGCAATTGCATGGAACACGTACTTGGAGCCCTCAAGTTTAAAAATTTGGACAGTGGACTAGGCTCCAAGCACACAAACAACCAAACATTCACCCGCATACATAATCGAACATCCCCCCACACTTAAGCACGACATTGTCCTCAATGGAGGAAAGATAAGGAGGGTAGAACGAAGTTACCAGATCAAGGGGGAATGATGATGTACGGGTCAGGCGGTGCATTCCAGAAAGAGAGAGTAATCAGAACACAAACACCACACAAAATCTCACAAAGGTTGAGTTATTGACTCTAAAATCAAATAACAAAACTGACTCAACCGAGGAGAAATAGAGAAAGAGATGCAAACCGACTGGTTGGGTTGCCTCCCAACAAGCGCTTCTTTCACGTCGTGAGTCGGACGATGGCTCCTAAGTTTCGGTCCATGAGAGAACCTCCTTGAAGTTGAGGTTCTCGTCGATGAGGTGGAGTCTCAAGTCATGAGCATGTGATGTGGCAGGTGATGAAGGCTCATGTACTTGATGCAGATGAAGTCTCCACCCTCGAGACCTCTCCTTCTCTTCTCTCGTCTCATTGCCCCAAACCAGATATGACAGCATCGATTGGCCACCATCGCGTCCACCAAGAGGGACCGATGTCGAGGTGGCCTTGGTCTGGCAAAGAGACACTGCAAATGGGTCCTTGCTAAGCAGTTCCTCGAAGTTTGGTGGAGATATCACATGTAACTCATGGCCGGTGCAAGCCTCTTCCACCTCAACTTCGTCCTCAGCCTGGACACCAATCGCCTCTTCAACCTCCCTTCCTTCTTCATGTGGTATCACCCCTGGGAAATGATCAAGAACTCCTCCAGCTTCACTTTCGTCATCCTCCACAACTTCTTTCTGCACCCTTTCTTGCTCTTCTTCTTCTAGCACGGATTGGAGAGCAAGTTGCCAAGCAATTTCTTTCATGAGATCTTCCTGCATCTCCTCACTCATGCCCGCCTCTTCAAAGCTCAGTTTGGGGTGTGGGAAGGTGTGGTCGGCTACGACATGACACGCCTGATCATGATCATCACGGGAGCTCTCCGTGACAACTTCAGTGTGTTCCACAATGCCCTTGTAGCTTTCTTCTTCCTCCTCCTTTTCTTATATGGTAGCAGAAGGGTGATCTGGAGCAGGTTGCGCCCAAGATCGCTCAAGATCATCGACGCTCTTCTTAAGGCTCAGGAGGATCTCATCTGTTTCACGATAGGCCTGGACACACTGATCCATCCTGGAGCATGTTCTCTCACAGTCTCGAGCAAACTGCTCCATGAGTAACTCCAGCGCCGATGGCCCTTCTGGTTGTGGGAGAAATTCTTCTTGATAATGAGGTTGTTCTTGATATGCCCAGGGGTCCGGTTGTTCTCCATAGTAAGGGGGTTGGTACTGGAACCCGAATCCATAGTCTTCTCTGCCTTGATTGCTCCAGGGAGTCTCGGGGTAATACCACCCAGATGGTGGTGGATACCCCCAATGATTGGAGAAGCCATTAGGATCCATAATTCAGATCTGCACCAACAAAAACAAAAACACCCAAGTGAAAAGCAAGGGTGGAAAAGAAAAGAAACGAAAAACGCTAAAGTAACAAACTTCTGCCTTTCCTAATACTCTAGAAAGTCCCCGGCAACGGCGCCAAAAACTTGACACTCCAAAAACACAACACCTAACAATGGCCAAGTGTAACCAATGGAAGGGACTGCAGTATAGTGGCTCAAGTAATAAATATCGAATCCACGGGTCTCTAGAGTTACTATTACTCAGCTTCAGTTTATTATTTAGCAAATCAGATTAAGATGAAAGAACTAAAACTACTCTAGCAAACTACAGTTAAAGTTAATCTAATTACAGGTTGGGAACTCACTTAGGTATGATTCCCCCTAGCCACTAGCCAGATTAATGATTGATGATCTCTAACCTGTTTCACTTTCATTCACAATGCGGAGAATCCTTGACTAGACCTTGAGTCTCGACTAAAGGAACAAGGCCCTCTTGAGTCAATTGCCTAGAGGGACGTATCCTTCTCTAGAACAACTGATCAAGGCGTTCTGAACTAGACTCCCTCTATCGAAAGAGGTTCTCAATCGATACAAAGCAGTGAATCAACCCTCGACTAAAGCAATCGATCCACTACTATCAATCTATGGTGCTCTATTGACCTAATCAGGTATTCCCTCTCATAGAATCAAAGCAGAATCAATAATCTCGACTAAAGCAGAATTGAATCATGAAAACATGCATAGATTGAATATGAACTCAAGATTATCCA